CCTTACCTATGACCTCCAAAATAATTGACATAATTTATGTCTTCTCTGAAGCCCTGATTGTCATTCTCTCCACTCCACGAGCACACATACGACTGGTTTATGCAAGGAGTGCACAATCCTCCATTCGTTGTATCAACAGTGTGCACTTGCTTTGTACCCATCTCATCAATTTTCTTTGTCAGTATGCTCATCTGAGTCATGAGAGTGGCGATGTTCTCTGCATGGTAATTGTTTGGGTCAAGAGCAACATAATGTACTATTGGTGTAAGTGTCGTATCTCTAGCCATCCAGCCTGAATTTTGAGCCATCTTGTCAAGAAAAATCTTGCACTATGTGAATGTCTTGCTCAAACAAGCACCCCCAACTGAAGCATCTACATTGGCCTTCAAACTATCTGCTAAACCCATGTAGAATCTCTGTCCCAGCATCTGATCTGGAATGCCATGGTGTGGACACTTCACTAGCATACCCTTGAACCTCTCCCAGGTTTCTTGCAAGGTCTCAGTTGGTTTCTGCCTGAACTGCAATATCTCATCAATCTGCCTTGCAGTCTTGTTGGGAGGATAAAACTTTTTTAAGAACTGTTTGACTAATTCTTCCCAAGTGGCAGTGGAGTTTATTGGGAGCAAATTCAGCCAAGTTTGAGCCTCTCCAGTCACATGGAATGGAAACAGTAATAGCTTGATGGCTTCAGGAGTCACATTCGGCTGTCTTTGGGTCACACATATTGATAGAAAATTCTTCAGATGTTGTCATGGGTCTTCAACGTATGACCTGGAACAATCCCTTATTTTGCAACAAATGCAGCATATTGTTGGTGATCTGGAATGTCTCCGCTTGTATCTGAGGTAGAGCAATGACGGTTGTATCTGAGGTAGAGCAATGACGGTGGCTAAGTTATCAGCAGTTGGTTGTGCCCACTCATAAAGAGCAGCTTCTGGCACAAGAGGTGCCATCACTCCATTGTTTGGGTCAACCCGATTATTCCAATTATTTTCGTTGACATCGTCCACATTGTCCATTTCAATTTCGAGTGTGTGTTTTTGTTGTAACTGTTTGTTCTTATTGTTGGCTCGATTTAATATCCTGAATGCTTTCTCGGGGTCTGAGAGTCCTTCAAAAAGTTCACCAGTCCTCGAAGAGCTTCTAGGCATACACCTGAGTCACAGGAGAATTCAAACGTGAGAATTTCAATGGAAAAATTTCAACACCGTAAGAAATTGATTTAAACTAAGAATCCTAGCAATTATTCTAAGTTGTAATAAATAACACCGTTAGTTCCACGGCAACAGCGTCAAAATTTGATCACGCCCAACTATGCCTTGTAAAAAGGACTAAGCGGTCGCTGCAAATATAACCCAGTTCAAGTCCGGAGTCAAATCCCACAGGGAACTTACCTATTTACTACAACTTTAAATAATGCTAATGATAAGTTCCGGCAACTTCCGGATGCAAGAGTTTTATGAATAATCAGTGGAATTTATTTAGCTAAGAAAAAATGACAATAAAATTAGCAATAATCAAGACTAAAACAGAATTCAAGGGTAAAAGAATCTAGGGCTATTGATTTCCCCAATTGCCGGATTAAATCTTAACTCTTTAGCTATAATCTCTCTGTAATACTCTATGAGGATTATGAGTTCCGAACTACCGTAATTACCTCTCGATCAATTACGATAATTTACTAGAAGTATTCTTTTCAACTATTCTAGTTAATAATTTATGCAACTCAGAATTATCCCACCAAAGCTTCATTATTTCTAACCCCACTTTTAAATTCAAGTAATTAATCTCTTAACTTACCCAAAAGTGATGGTGTTCAACAACAATCTAACCAAGTGTTCTTTCTCAAGCAACACAAGGTAACTAGACACGATTAATCGAGGGCCGTTCTAATTAACCATAATACAATACGTAGTTGAACAATCATAGAACAAACACAGCTCAATTATAACAAAATAGAGTCAAGACTTAATCCAACAATTGGTTCCATCAATCCTAGATAATATATTTAGCTACTCATACTAATGGAAAACAAATCACTAAAATAATTCATAATCAACAAATAGAAGTATGAAGAAAAAGATGAAAATTCTTAGGAAATTATCCGTCTTCTCTCCCTCGTTCTTGCCTGTAAAATCTTCTAAAAATAGATATCTTCCACTTCTGGGCGAGTTTAGGTTTCATATAGGTTTAGGTTAGTCGCCTAGGAAATTACATAATTAACCCTGCGTGTTTGGCTTTCGTCCGCCCGTCCGCGACCGCGGATCCGGTCGCGAATTTTCACTGCCTCACTGCCTTGAGTTCACAGACCAATTCACGGCCGCGCACCTTGAGGGGTCGTCTCGCTTGCTTTTCTCGCTCCTTTTCGATCGGGCTAACCTTTGATTGGCCTTTCACACTCCATGTTGACTCCAAAACACTCGTTAGCTCCCTCCTAGTTCGGAGTAGCTCCTGCAAAGCATCAAATTCTTAATTAGAGCATTTTATTATCTTTTAGCATTCAAATATCAATAAAGTGCAGCTAAATTAGAGTGTAAATAGTGTCTAAATTGCATAAATATAGCCTACTATCATACATCAACTACTTATTCGTTCCACTAGTTGATGTTTAAAACCAATTAACCAACTATGAAATACTTGTGTTAGGCTGCTATAATAAATGCAACAAACTTGTTGAGCAAATTTCATTTGTAGCCGGCCGGTGGTAACAATTATCATTCGCTAGCCATCAATTAAACCATACAATTTATCACCCCAAATAAATTATAATGGCTAGCCTAAATTTGCTCAAATACAGTAGATTTTATTGCCATCGAGTCATTCCAATCCTCCACTAATGATATGCAAAATCAGGTTTCTTATTGTCAAAATACCGCTTGTGCTTTTGCAATTGTTGGATATGAAATAACGTTATTATCACAAGTGCCTTTTAATTCTTTATCTAGTACTTGGTTTCTTTTGTCCGATGTGATGAATTACTCCAAGAATATTCTTGGATATCAAATATTCCAAAATAACAATATTTTATCAAACTGAAAAAAGGAATTGATCAACTTTAATATTTTAAAAAAATTATTAAAAAAAAAGAGGCACAACGCAATGTGACCAATAAGTGACTTAAGACTTTAGGTTTTGCTGATATATTTTCAAAAGTTAATAAATACTTGTTGTATTTCGAAAATCATCATATTATTTGAGCAAAATGTATAATGGGAGTCATGTCTCATATAGCTGAGGATTGATACGTAGTCGACAACAGTTGTTGTTTTGTTTAAAATACTTTGAAGAATACCAAATTCAACAAAAAATGTTTCCTAAAATTAATTGAGCAAATTTCATTTGTATACAATAGACTGTCACTATACAAAAATATACTAAAATAGTCTGTCACTATATAAAATATATACAAAATAGACTGTCACTATACAAAAAATGAATGCGCGCTTGTATATGGAGATGAAAAGAAAAACCTGGATATCACTGAATATCCATTATGCATAACGTTGAAATAAATACAAAATAGATTGTCACTATACAAAAAATATACTAAATAGACTGTCAAATTCAAAAAAATATACAAAATAGACTGTCACTATATAAAAAATATACAATAGACTGTCATTATACAAAATATATACTAAATGGATTGTCACTATACAAAAAATATACAAAATAGACTGTCACTGTATAATTTTTATACAATAGACTGTCATTATACAAAAAATATACTAAATTGACTGTCATTATACAAAAAATATATAAAAATAGACTGTCACTGCACAATTTATATACAATAGACTATCACTATACAAAAAAATATACGGAGTATTAAATAGACTGCAAATATACAAAATATATACAAAATAGACTGTCATTATACAAAAAATATATAAAATAGATATTTCGGGCTATTAAATATAATATGTTTGGGCCGGAGGGACATTTAGTGTCGATAGAAAAAAATAAGGGCTATTAAAATTTTGAGGAGCCGTAGAGTGTCATTTTCTCAAACTTATTTCTAGAGTTCTAGTCAACATATACTTGCTGTCGATTTGAAAAAATGTGGATCGTTTGGAATTTTCTATACACTCTGCTTAAAAATCGTCACAAAACGTGACATCACTTAGCAATTGTAGCTCGTCTCTTTTTTTTTCTTTCTTTTTAAATGTTCTTTTACTTGGTCGAATTTTTTTATTTTACTTGGTCGTATTGTGAAATTAATATCGTGGTCTTAACGTTATACCCTCCAACTCTTACCTAATACTATTATTTAGTATCCGAGTCAGGTTGTTAAAGTTTGTGAGTTTCTACCGTAATTTCAAATTAATATATAATAATAACTGAGTTTACAATAAAATATTTATATATATTTAGTAAATTTTTAATAGCAAATCAGGGTCTATGCAGAAATTAATGGGTTCTAGAAAACCCACATACAATGCTCTGGAATCCGCGACGGTTTAGTATAAGCTTTTTTCTTTTACAGTAAACTTGTGAAATATTATAGAATGAGAAAGTTAAAAGGAAAGCAAAGACAATTTTTCTACTAATTTGAAAGATTTGATTGAGATATATGGGAAGAACTGTCCATATTTGCTCCTTAGAAAGAACTATACAAAATGATATGGCATCAGTTAATAGGTGGGGTATTTTGCCCTTATTTTCAAACTTTGGATAGTTAAAGACTAACTAGTCTCTAGGTTGGGACACGTGGCTTTTTTCTGGTGCTACACAGAATAGTTAGAGCCGCTTGAAAATAAGGGCAAAAATGAACCACGAACGGCAACAATATGATACTTCAGAGAACAAATGTAGACCATTTCGTATATTTGAGGAGTAAATATTGACCTTTTCCCTTAAATCTAACTAAGAGATGCCCTTGTCAAAACTATGAAGGTACAAACTTGTGAATTTACAGACATGAATTTCTACCATATAAAAAACTCATATATAACCTTTTTTTTTTCCGGAAAATCTAGCACACAATGGAGAAAAAGTAAGAGAAATTTGTTCAACCAGTTGCAGAAAGTTCCTTATTACATTCAACCAAAGAGCTACATAAACAAAGTCATTTAGTTACAGCTACAAACATTAAGCATATTTACATTTTCTTCTGGAATAAAAAGACTAAATTCAGAGAAATGTCAATAGCTTTTGAGCTATATATATGAGTACATCCGAACGCGTCAACTAGGAAATTAATCAGGAAAGGGCCTTTCTCGCTTGTTTGAAGCCATATAAGGCTTTCTTCAATCGGCAAGGGAAGTCTGATAGGGAGGTCACTGACCTGCCAAATTATTGAAGTCTATGCGTACGTGCCATTGTTCAAGCTGTGGATAGAACAGACCGCTCATAAAGTTCATACGGCTGCATCCCACTTGAACCCGCCTTAACAGGTTGTCCCGAGGCACCAAAACACAAATATTGGTTCACCGATCTTTTATGTCCTGCGCTTTGTTTGTGTGTCGAGTCTGATGATACACCGTCTACCTGATTAGAACAAGAAGGTCCAGCGAGCTCAGTCTCAATCACGATTGATTTTTGTTTGTCCAAAGAACTGCGTGAAGACAATGATGAAATCGAGAATGAACTAGCACGAGGTGATCTACGAGGGAGGCTGAGATGTGGTATGGCTTGCATGACACCGTTTACTATCCCTGAAGCAAACTTCTTCTTTGCTGTTGGACTTGGAACGTTACTACTAGCAGAGAGCGTCCGTTTGTGACTTGAGAATGATGAAGTCTTTGAGTACCTTTCCCGAAGAGGGACTGGTGCCATGTCCGAATTACTTGCAGAACATTGATCCACTAATATCTTGACCTTCTTAGTATCTCTTTTTTTAATTTTTGGCCAATGGAAAAAGCGTTTCAGCTTTTCAGCTGCATGATCTGCCGAACCAGGTTTCTTGTCATTTCGAGAACAATAGCTATCAGGACTCATGTATCGATGACTCAGCTCACTTGTATTGCTAAGCTCAGCCTTTTTACTGTCCTCTGGTGCATGTTCAATGCCTGTGTATAAGAATATTTCAGTGTCAGAGATTCTAAAAGAAGTTCCGGGACTGCTACTTATGTTTAGCATCTTCAAATGGGATGCAACAACAATCCTTGCAGAATAATCGTGATGACTAAAAATTCCCCCTGCAGAGATCAACTGTCTTGTAAGTAGCTCGGATGAAGCAGAACGTGGCCGTTGCTTCAGGATATCAAGTGGTGTCATTCCATCCTTATCACGAGTATTGATATTAATAGAGGGGACGGTCATAAGTAATTCCACAAGTTCAGAATGTATATTTCCAATGATAGCTAAATGAAGAGCAGTTCTACCGTCATTGTTTTCAGCGTTGACGATTTCTTCAATGTCGAAAAATTTTCCACAAACTAATTGCTTCATGAGATCAATTTGACGGTCCAATCTACGGAAATAAGGATTTTGGAAACCAGTAATGGCAACATGAAGAAATGTATCTCCGGCATTGTTTCTTGAATTGACCAATGAAGGTGAAGCAACGATGAGAGCTTCAACAACAGCTAATTGGCCCCTCGAAGCAGCCACGTGTAATGCTGTATTGCCTTGATTGTCTATGGAGTTGATAATATCAGAACTTTTTAAGAGATATTTAACAACCTGCACCGATAAAATAGAGCAAATGAAGGACATAAATATTGCCTAACCATTAGCATTAGCATACTTCAGAATTGCAGCCACATGTTTAACATCTAAGCTTGTTATGAGGTATTGTTCAAACATGACAAAGATAACAAGTATAAATAACCACCACATCAGAGATTAATCATTTACTATTAGATGATAATATGATATCTGAAATCCAACTAAAACTTCTTGGTTTCATTAATGGGATGCAAACCATCTGCATAATCTTTCTGTTTTCTGACTACGCAAAAAGCAAAGCTCAGTAGAAAAGTTCAATTGGTCAAGTAAAGGTGCAAATCCATTTGAAATGCCGGGTTAACATGCATCACTATTTAGCATTGGCTTAAACGCTCATTTAACTATAGTTAACAAAAGCAATTGGTCATCTCCGTTTGATGTGAGAATCTGGAACTGAAATGGGAAATGGTTAGGAAATCTAAGACTCAGAAATCCTATTAGGAGAAATTTCTACAGTAAACATTTTCACTAAAAGTAAAGAAGTTTCCAAGAAATTAAGCAAAGCATGATGATTCCTGGTTTTACCATTTCATACTAATATTGAGTGCTTATGTCAAAACCTCATGGTTGAAACTTCTGTAGTCTAATAACTTATGGTTAAATTAAGACCCAGATCCTCCTTGGCTAGTTAAAATAGAAAAGTTGCTGAGATTTGTTGCAATTACACCACCAAATATTACTTAAATAGTTGATCTTGCTACATAAATAGTAAGCATTTATACTATTTGTTAGTTCCAAGACCCGTGTATTCAGTGGCGAAGCCAAGATTACAATACAAAGGGATTCCAAAATAAATCCTAGAATGTCATGCCTAGGGTCATCTTATATCAAGTGGATTCAACAGTTTATATATAACCAAAAAAAAATCGTTTTTGCCCTATTTACACAATACAACTTTCCGGAGAAGGGGATTCAATTGAACCCCCGTGCTAACAGATAGCTCCGCCACTGCCTGTATTGATTTGTAACAAACAAAGAACCAAAACCAAGCAACATGAAATCTGCAAAAGCTCAAAACTGGTAAGCAAACAAATCCTACCTCGACCTGGCCTTTGCCAGCAGCCGTATGTAAGAGAGTTGCACCTTGAATGTCTCTGTAAGCCAATATATCATCAGAACAGTCAGCAATAAGCTCCTTCAACATCTTCACATTGCCTCCTCTAGCAGCCGCATGAATAGCTCTATTCATCATCTCCCACTTATAAGCAGACGGAATCTCCCCAATTTGTTCCTCAAACCCTCTACCACCACGTGCTATAAACCTCGGGGATACAGCAAAATCAAACAAAACCTTAAACACATCACAACTTTTACTCCTAGCAGCAGCATATAATATATCGGTGACACCATACTCTCCTTCTCCAAAGACTAAAAGGGGGTCTTTTTCGAGCGATTCTCGAACAAAATCCAGGTCTCCAGCAGAGGCAGCGGTATACAAAAGCCATCCACCATATCCAGCTTTAAGGAGGGAGTTTTTCCCTTTCTTGTTCTCACATTCAAGAAGCAACTTCTTTGCAACTTGTGACCGGCATTTAGCCACATCATCGAATTGTTCTTCATCATCCCAAACAGACTCGAGTAGCTTTATCCTACGCAGTGAAGTGAGGTTGATAAGGTGATTGCCATCTAGGCGAAGAAGCTCGCGCACCAAATCATAGTGACCATTTGCAGCTGCCCAATCAATTGGGGAAGCATACCACCATTGGTCCCCAGTACTCTCCCATCGAAGAGGTAAATACGTCGGAGGCATTGTAATGGCAAGAATATCAAGACCCGAAAAACTTCAGCTACAAACGCAAAGAACAAATCTTTCAAGGGTTAAACTCAAGAAGATGACACCTAGATCAAGCAAAGGCAGGATGGAGCTTATATAATACCGGTTCAACTGAATCTATTATTTTCGAGAAGAATGTAGAGGTGTAGTAAATAATCAATAAAATTTCAATAAATACTAATTTCTGAACCCATAATTACAAATAATTCACTGCTAAACATCTAAAAAGTTTAACTCATCAAGTTTAAATTCTTGATCCGACTCTGAGATCAAGACCCGAAAAACTTGAACAATAAACAAGAGATTTTTCTAGGCCAAAAATGTCCCAATTAAAGATTTTACAACAAGAAAATACAACATTATTAATGCATGAAGATAGGATTGACAAAAAGGTGATTGACCCACAAAGCAACAGCTCAAATATAATTATGAGGTGAATACCCTACTAGATTTCAAGCCAAAAAAAAAGTACTCCTAACAGAGAGGAGGACAAGAGAGTAAAGGTGAATATACAGAGAAAGGAAAGGTTAAGGAAAAAGTTAGAAACTTTAAAGCTTAGAGTATACACAACGAATAGGCTTACCACCAGAAGGAAATGAGAATACCAGAATATACACATGGCAAAGCATCAATTTTTTTTTTATAATTAAAGAAGATGACTAAACTAGAAAAGTTTAAACAAACAAAATGAGATGGATTGAACTCATCAGTTGGCCTGAAATACTTACCTTATTACAAGATCTGTGCTCGACTACAAAAGAAAATAGGGACAATCAGATATTTTTGTACAGTACTTGTGCTGAAAAATTTCGAAGTAGACAAGAAAAGAATTTAAAAAGAGGATTAAGTCACAACAAAAATGGAGGGAGAAATGAGGAAAAAAAAAGATAAAAGTGTGGTAGTAAGCACGTAGGAGTATATGAAAAAGGAGGAAAGATTCTTACTTATTGAAGTGTGAAATTTGATGGAAATGATAATGATGGTTGAATGTCATAACATAAGCACGCCAGAACAGAGAGGGGGCTTGGTAAATTGGGAAAGGTGAAAGTGACTAAAGTGGAAAGTGGGGGTAATGGCGGGGGCGGCAAAATTAAAACCGCGGGACTGTTAGTTAATGTTCGATGTTTCTGTTGTCGCTGTCGGATCAGATGTTTGATTGTTACATTTATGTGATTTATCTATTTAGTATTCTTTTATTTATATCACTTTTTTCATACCATATTGGTAAAAGAAGAGTAATAGAAAGGATTTATAAATAAAACATATGAGATTCTTGTAAGGTCATATTTTTTTAATCTAAATTAATATTGATCATAAGAGATTAATTTCTTTTTTTAATGATAGAAAAAATGGTCTAATTTTGTATGCTGTCATATTTTCTCAACATTTGCTAGTTGAGCCAAGTCTGGGGCATCATTTCCTTTTTTTGGAAAGTAAGTAATTATTGATTCAAATATGGACGATAAACACATATTGCATTTTATGGGTCAAAATTAAATATGAAGTTAAACTAAAAACGATTCAATTGAAAAGTCATAAGTTGGTAATCAACTATAAGCTGGTTATTGAGCGGGATGACACTACTAATAGTTTCTAAGTAAGATTACATGGTAGTATTATTATTTAAGTACAAGTTATATTTTATCCATCTTAAAAAAAAAAAGAAAACACAGATACTTCATTATATTGTACATGAAAAACGAGATAGGGAGAGAGTCATGCCTTATGATGGTATATATGTAGGTACGTAAAATGTACTCTTTACATCCCAATTTATGTTGCAGTATTTGATTAGGTACGAGATTTAAGAAAAAAATAAATACTTTTAAAATTTATGGTCTAAAACAGGGTATAAAAATTTGTGTAGCTATAAATCATCTCAATAAGAGTAAAAGGAAACGTTTAAGTTATATTCTTTTTAAATAAGAAAGTAAAAAAAATTATTTCTGAGACAGACTAAAAAAAATATATAATGCATAAATTGAGACAGACATAATACTCTCTAGTGCACATAAATTGAGACCGAAGGAGTAATACTCTCCATATTTATATATGTCAATATGTCAACGGCTTGCGTATGAGAAATTTGTTAAGGCAAACGCTTGCCTTAACAATATTGAAAAAAGACCAAATCAATGGCATGAGCAAAAATGGCTCTTATACCCGAGTTTTCGCTTTGGCAAACGCTTGTGTTGACATTGGAAAAAGACCAAACTATTATAAATGATATGCAAAAACTAAAGTCACTCACTAGTGCCGTACCCAAATATATTTTCTATTTTTTCATGTGCATTCAATGTCATGGTCGGTTTGACAATAACTAATAGAGAAGGAATTTTTCTCTGCAATTTTCTGTCTTCCCTCTCATTTTTTTCCCTATGCTTGAAACACTCTGTATCCAAAATCATGCGATTAATTCAGATTTGTGTCATGTAAAATCCATTAAAGAAGACACGCTTCGTAGCAGAAGTTTCTGTATTGCTTGTTTATCTAAAAAAAAAAAAAAAAAGAGTACAATTGAATTTATACGTGGTTTTTAGACAAGTGAATTAATGTGATCCTATAATAATATAATAATTGAAGAAATGTGTAATACTTAACCTTGAAATATAAATGAAAACAACAGAGATGACAATTCCGGGACGGTGCTTCCGGGCACAACGATGATGAGATCAAAAAGCAAGAAAGTAAAATTATATAAAACTTTATATAGAATAAAGTGTAAGTTTAGCTAAAAAATTCATGTGTTTTACAATGATAACTAAGCTCACTATTTATAGCTATCTCTAAGGAAGGAAGTCCTTGGATCATGTCCTCCTTTAATGTCAATTATGAGGGTCATTGATGAAGACGTTACGGTGAATATAAATACCAAATTTTCTGTAACGGACTGTCGCTCTTAATGCTACAGAGTATTTAACACACCTTTATGAACGTTATCCTTTCCGGTGACAAGCGGAATGACTGCGTTCGGTCTTCGGTCATTCCTGCCTTGGGTTCCACGTGTCCTATCTTTAGTTGTCCACGTGTCATATCATATTTCATCCTATACAGATAGTCTCCCTGCTTTCCGGTGACATAACTTTGTATTACCGGAAAATTGGTAGAAATAACTTTTTGGCGAGAATTACTATAACTCCCTCTAAAAATTTCTGACAGTTGATTAGACGCACGTCTCTCCGCATTTAATACCCCGAACACGCATCATCCCATGATCCAACATAACTTTTACCGATTATCGAGGTAATCATGGCCATGAATTTAGCCGCCAAAATTTTATTTATACGCCACATTCTTTTCCTTTGCGTTTCATAATTTCTCGAGCTCCTGATCTGCATATTTGTTTTTCATTCTTTCTCTTGTTCTCTTCAAACACAAAACATTTTTCTTCTTCTTTTTCAATGGCTTCTTCCTCTAAACGTGTTGGTTCTACAAAGAATAAAACTGAGGACTTTGTTCCTCCAACGGTGGGTTCCATCATCCCAAGAAAACTCAGTACCATAAAGGACCTTGAAGAGAAATTCCCTACTGCTAACCCTCGTACATGGGCTGTTAGTAAGTACCCTTCTTCCATTCATCCTTCCAGTATTCCTGCTGTGAAGGAAGACTATCGCTGCCATAAGTTGGATATCATCGCTCCTGATCTATCGGAGTGAGTAGCCCTTCCCAAGGAAGATTTTACATACTTTTATACGTATCCCTTTACTTTGGGGGAGTTTTCTTTGAGCAGAGAGTTTGATTCAGTGATTGCGGAGTTTTGCCTTCGCTACCAAGTGTGTTTAGCACAGGTAAGTCCTTTAGTGTGGAGGACGGTCGTCTGTCTTCGACGCTTGTGCCAGGAAACTGGAGAGGAGCTAACCTTAGCTCATATGATGAATCTCTATTCCCCCAAAATCTTCCGTGGGGGAATGATAAACCTTTGAAAGCGTGGTCCCATGCTTTGCTGTCTAGCATGGATGATGACAACGACCGTGGGTGGATGGAACGATTCGTTGTAGTTGCCACCAACGACATCATTCCGACAACGGCTTCATCCTTTCCGGCCGTTTGGAACCGCACTCGTAAGCTCTTTGTTTTGTATTTCTTTTTACTATATATTCCTTTGTGGTCGTATTAACTCTTCACCCTTCACACGTTTCAGCAACTCGATGGGTCCCACCGGTGGTGGAAGGTTTGGACCGGTGGGTTCAAAAGATCTTGGACGTCACAACGCCCGAAACTCATTTATGGAAAGAACTGGCCCTTAAATACGGATGGAAAGCCAAAAATAATGAAATTTTAATTTACCTTGCTTCCATTATGAAGAACTTGTTTGAACCCTTCTGATTTGTTCATAAAATTAGGTTTACCTGCGGGTTTTGTTGTTGTCCCCGAATAGGATATTTTGGCTGATCCTGCCGAGGTTACTCAAGTCAAAGAAGAACTTAAGCGCCGAGCGGCTTCCCTCGTTGTTGAAAAAACTTATTCCATGTATAGCATGAGGAGAAAAATCTTGGAAGAGGCCAAAGATTGAATCATTGACGTTGATGCCGAAATTGCTATGGCCCGAGAGCTTGAGTTGGCTGCAAGAAATGGACTCCCAGCGCAGTCTGATGCTCCAGGTTCTTCTGATTCTGGTTTCGAGTTTTCGGAAACTGAAGAGGTATCGGAAGGCGATGATGCCGAAGACCAAACTGGGGAAAACGTTGAACCATCGGTGGAACCACCTAGTTTCCCGGGAATGCGGATATTTCTCTTCCTCCTGGTTCCGGAGGCGCTGCAGTTTAGCTTTATCTTTCTTTTCACATTTTGTACTTTTATTGTTTTGGCCCGTTCTTGTAAATAAAGACATATGTTTTTCTCAAGTATTATTTGAGTCCTACTTTTGTTTGAGTATCCATGCAAGTCTTTAACTTTTGCACTTGCTCAAGCATTATGCGCATGTTGTTCTATTTGCACTTTACTATGTGTAGTCTCGGATGCCTTTTCTTCGAAGCATTTTGGTTCCGAGTATTATCCCTTTTATGTGAGGGTTTCTATGAATATTTTGTGCAAGTTTGCTTTTTGCGTCCTTTTCATATGCGGCTTCAGGTGTATTTTTTCCCGATGGCATTTTAGATTCTGGGCATTGATTCTTCCAGAACCAACCCTTTAACGTGAGGATTTTTATAAGAGAGGGCCCTCTTATGTTTATGATGTTCTTGAAGAGAACGTCTCATGTTCATTACGACACTAACATTTGAAGTGCTTGTTTAACTTTCAAATGACAAAGTTAGCTCATCGTTCAGACAAGAAACAAGATAAAAGTAAAAGGATTTTATTTTATTCCTTCTATTTTAAAAAATACATAATCATCTTGCTATGCGGAAAAGAAATTGCCATTACTTGTGGCTATCTTGTACAACTTATTTCTACAGGGCTGGCTACGCAGTCCCCGGTCCTGATGATGCATTTTGTTTCCAGATTTTTGTTTCTCGGTTGACGTGGCAGTCATTGTTGCCATATCCCCATATCATTCCCCCTAGTGTTCGAATGTGGAGAGTGCGAATTGGAACACTGAAAGTCTTGTATCTTCGAAGGTTCTACCAATGAATTGC